GAACGACTAAGTGAATGAATGAATAAACACATAAAACCAACAAATCAACAAATGCACCAATCATTCAAACGTTTGTTTCATTATCTATTGCGCAACGATTCGAATTCCAAGCAGCAAAAAAAAAAATAATTCAATTTCAAATTTCGATCTCAATACTACTCACGGTACAACAGAACAGTAAAACAGAAACAATAATGAACCTGCGCTTGAAGATCGCCTTTATCAGCCAAGTATTTGTAGTAGTTGAGTAGATTTGGATCGAGTAATGCGGTTGAGGGCGACGATGATGATGAGCCCGTATTCTCCTAAAAACTTGCGAAATTTGCCAGCAGTAAGCGCCATTGAAACAGGACGAATGACTGTCTAAATGAATGAATGAAGTGATACTGATGAAGCAATTTGACACACCTGTTCATCTGGCAATCGAATTCTCTGCATTGCCGTACCGCCCGACAGACGCACTTGTTCGGCCACTCGAGTGGCCACTTTCTTGTACCACGCAAGTGCTCGTTCACAATTGATAGGCACCGATATTCCAGACCAGTAACGATAGCCCTTCAAAATTATTTTAAAAAATAAGGTAGATGAAGTGCGCTCGGCTGCTCGTTCAGTCCAAATGTAACGACCAGAAAATATTTAAATTCTCATAAGGTAATGGTTAGATTTCAATTTTTTTCTCTCGTAGCATTTCTCAACCTCTTTTTGAAACGAGCAAAACATCCAGTGGCAGACGAACAAACCACTTACAAGTGCCATTTGTGAGAGTGGATTACCGCCTAACGCTGAGAAAGTGTAATAGATCAACGCCTTGGCTTGAGACGATTCCGGCACTCCGATGCCTGTACCGTGAAGGAAGGCCAAACCCAACTGTGCATCCGCAGAGCCTTGCGCGGCTAACTCTTCGAATAGATGACGTGCTTCATCGATATTCCATCGTGTATAATCGCCAAACAAGTAGGCGAATGCTGAACACGTTCAATGCTTTACTACAAATGTAATTCCTTCCATCTCGTGCTATGTCAACGAACTAATATACTCTTCAAATCTGCACTAAGATATGAGATTAAGATAGACTTTGACTGGAGGGTAATCGATACAACAGGATTGATTCAAAACGCACATTTTGAATATAGCTCAAAATAATCATTGAATCGCAATCGGGTAATCTTTTCGCAACAACGCAACCACAAAGCTCATTCAAATTCACCTCAGAACACACCAGGCAACCATCGATCACCTCAGAAAGAATTTGAGTCTCCGAATAAAC